CCCTTTCCTAAGACCCACTTACCTAACATCCCTTATACCATTTTAGAGCTCAGCATTACTATCCAAGTGGTGTGCCTTATACAAGACCCCATTGTGCTGCCTGTAGTCAAGGATGGAGGTGTCTAGTTCCCCACTGCTATTACCCCATTACACCTTTAGATTTTCTGTGTGGACCCCTTGTGAATCTGCTCCAACCATTTCAGATGAGGTGCCAACTGCTGTCCCCTGAGTCAGAAGTCTACAGTCGAGCTTTTTCAGGGATTTTATGGCTTTGCTCCCATAGCTAATCTGTTGCACTCCCCTCTTGGTTTACTCCAACGTGGGTGGGGTGGGCCTGCCACACTCCCTGAACTAGTTCTTCATTGCTGTCCTCCAGAGTGCTGTCATCTAGGGCTATGGAGGGGACATCATGTCTTTAGTGCTTAATATTTTAACAGCTGCCTAGTGGCCACCCATAGTACAATGATTCTTCTTGATTTTCCGGAACGGTAAAGGAAGAAGGAAAGTGAAGAGTACAGGAAGGGAGTGAAGAGTACATGAATATGTGGCTAATTGCTTCCGTGAACAACTGTTTACCTTGTCATGAGATCCAAAGAATTGGATTCCACCTGCTACCATCTAATATTTGAACATAAATTCTATAGTAGATTCCCAATCAAAAGGGGAAATATGTAAAACAATGAAACATTTTCATGAAATCTAGGCTTTCTGTAGCACTAAGGCTAGATAAACTTCTCAAAATTGTCTTGTGAGAATCTTTAAGCCTTACACTAAAACTATTCTCTAAAATCATCTTTAAATGAAACAACTAAAAAAAAGAAACATGAGGAGCTGGATCCAAGAGCCCAAGGGAGAGCAAATGTTTTGAGAATGATGAGGGCAACAAATATACAAATGTGCTTTACACAATTGACATATGTATGGATTGTGATGAGTTGTGTGAGCCCCCAAAAATGATTTTAAAAAATAAATAAATGAAACAATAGATTAATTTCACTAATAAATAATATTTGCATTGGGTAATTTTAAAAAGAGATCTTTTAAGATCTATGTAGGACCAAATTACCAACAGTATCTCAAAGGATTAGATAGGAAACTTAGAGGCAGTGAGTTTATTTTATGGGAGGAGGGAGAATTGAGAAATGGAGGGTGAAAATGATTGTATAACTTGAAAACTTTAATCAGTGTCACTTAATTGTGCATGTAGAAATTGTTAAATTGCTGTATATGTTCTCAACAAGAACAACAACAAAAGCATTTTTAAAGTGAAATCACATGCTACAGAAGAGTCGTTCTCAACCTGTGGGTCGTGACCCCTTTGGTGGTCAAAAGACCCTTTCACATAGGTCGTCCAATTCATAACAGTAGCAAAATGACAGTTATGAAGTAGCAATGAAAATAATTTTATGGTTGGGGGGGGTCACCACAACGTGAGGAACTGTATTAAAGGGTCGCGACATTAGGAAGGTTGAGAACCACTGCCATAGAATGACATTATGGTATATGTGAATATTGCTGTGCTCGTTGGTGTAAGACTATTTTGATAAGAGTGGGAAGAGCATGACAGCAGAACATAGATGTGAGGGTGATATCTTTCAACCATTAATTAAATGCTGTTACATGTTCTTGTTAGTTACGATTGCGTCAATTCCAATTCATGATTACCACTACAAGGGCAGTGAACTATTAAATGCCGCTCTTCTAGCCAAACTTTATAACTTCTACCATATGACCTTTTCCCACAGGGGTCTAGTAAGGAAAATGCTGCTAGGATTCACCTGTGAGCAATTGCAAACAAATTTCACTGGAGTTCATGTTGCCGTGTAGCAAATAACTCTTTAGGAATCAGTAGGAGGGATCTCATATCAGCAGGAGTCAGGAATGAAGCAAGTCTTATGGACTCAAGGTGCCCATGCAGTAACTTCTAGGGCCAGAAGACAACTATACTATCAGAAGAGCAACAGCAGAACCAAGAGCCAGAGCATGGAGCAGAGTAATGGACATTCCAATCCCTAGAAGTAAAACTGAGTGCTTTCGTGCAGGAGTCAGACTTGTATAGTTTGGTGCATCTGGACACTGAATTGGTAAGTTGGATTGGTTGACTCGTGGATGTGGAGCTTTGTGCCTTTGGAATGAAGCTTACTGGAGGGGGCTGTCTCTGGGCACTTAATTCAAGGAGCTGGTATGCTGAACCAGGCAGCTTGAGCTTAATGCCTTCGTGTTGACGCTTACAGTCCAGTGTATGGACCCTTTGGAATGTATTATCATACTGGAAAGAACTTCATAACACATCCTGATAAATAACATCCTTAATAAATGTTTTAGAAAATATAATTAAATTATTTTATTGAGAGCTCTTACATCTCTTATCACAATCCACACAATCATCCATTGTGTCAAGCACATTTGTACATATACTGCCATCATCATTTTCAAAGCATTTTCTTTCTACTTGAGCCCTTGATATCAGCTCCTCATTTCCCCCTCCCTCTCCCTCCCTCATGAACCCTTGATAAGTTATAGATTATTATTTTCGTATTTTAAATAATTCTCTGTTGCCCTTCACCCACTTTTCTGTTGTTTGTCCATCTGGGTAGGGGTTGTATGTTGATCCTTGTGATCGATTTCCCCTTTCTCCACGCACCTTCCCCTTATCTTTCTGGTATCCCTATTCTCATTGTTGGCCCTGAGGAGTTAATCTATCCTGGATTCCCTATGATGTGGACTCTTATCTGTAGCAGTGTTCATGTTCTGGTCTAATCCAATTTGTAAGGTAGAATTGAGGTCATGATAGTTGGGGGAAGGAAGCACCAAAGAACTAGAAGAAAGTTGTGTGTTTCATCGGTGCCATATTGCACCCTGACTGGCTCATTACTTCTGCATGACCAAATGAAGGCTGAATGTGATTTATGGCTTGTGATAAGAATTGTACAAGCCCCCAATAAAATGATTTTTAAAAATACGATGTTGGGACAAGAGGAAAGTAAAAGGAAATAGAGGAAAGAACCAGGAGGCAGAGGGCATTTATAGAGGTCTAAATACAGACATGTACACATGTAAATATATTTATATATACTGAAAGGGGAACAGTTCTATGTACTTATATCTGTCTGTTAAGAATTAAGGTTTCAGATAGACATTGAGCCTCGACTCAAGTATTCCCTCAACACAAGAACACTTTGTTCTAATAATCTGGCATTCTATAATGCTCACTTTCCCGACAGAATCGCTGAAGACAAATTGGGTGCATAAGCAAATGTGGTGAAGAAAGCTGATGGTATCCTGCTATTAAAAGATATGGCATCTGGGGTCTTAAAAGCTTGAAGGTAAACAAGTGACCATCTAGCTGAGAAGCAACAAAGTCCCCATGGAAGAAGCACACCAGCCTGTGTGAACATGAGGTGTCTATGGGATCAGGTATCAGGCATTTAAGACCCAGAGCAAAATCATACCCAAGGTGAATGGGTGGGGAGGCATGGAGTGGAGACCCAATGCCCATCTGTAGACATTTGGACATCCTCTTAATAAATCCTTTAATCATGAATTTAGTATGTGATTTCTGTATAGTCATTGCACTGGACATTCCAACCTAGAGATCAAGTAAATAATATTAACACATTGAAACTAAACATAGTCCTCTAAGTCATCTTTACAATTTGTCATGTTCTTGTCCAATATTTCGGCCACTGTGTATTTTGAGTCTTTACAAGACAGAAGGCTCATCTTCCAGCACTATTTAGAACACTATTTTGTGTTATATATAGGATTTTTATGGATAATTTCTGAAAGTAAGTCAGCAGGCCTTTCTTCCTATAATGTCTTATTGTGAAATCTCCACTGAAACCTTAATACTATGGATGATACTGCTAGTATTTGAAATTCATATTGCATAGCTTCCAGCATCATAGCTACATGCAATTCACCAGAGTGCAACCGATTTTTGAAGTTACATAATCTCCTGTCAACTTGTGAAGGGGTGGAGTGTAGCCTGTCAATGAGGCCTCCATGTAGTCATGGCCTCCTCCTTAGGATTCTGTGAACTCCTATCTTCGACCCTAGAGGTGGGAGACACACTCTCTGCTTTGTCTTCCTGCTTACAAGGCACATGGAACTACAGTAGATCCCGGGAACTGGAGGAGCCACGTTGAGACCCATGCCAGCGTTGAGATGCTTCTACTGCCACTAGATCAACAAGACTTTCCAGCCACTGTTATCTTCCTGCATTTGGTGTCATTGCATGTGTTGTGTGAGTCTGAAGAGGAAATTATATACTGCTATCACACATGTGGGCCAATATCAGACTTATGGGCTTGATCTGGACTTGGCTGGGATGTTTTCTTAATATACAATTACTTTTTGATATAAAGTTCTCTCTTACACACCTCTGAGTTTCTATGGACTTGTTTCTCTAGTCAACCTGGACTAACACAAAATTGTTACATGGGTGGCGGCTAATACAAGGAGAGACCTTATTATACTTAACCTGTACTCTACATGAGATAGATTGACAAGTAGCTACAATTATAGTGGGTTCAATCATAATGATAATTTTGGAGATTGTGCAGGACAAGGCCGTGTTTCTTTCTGTTTTACAGAAGGTTCCTATGAGTCAGAACAGACTTGAGGGCACCTAATAACAACAGCAGCAGCATATCTTGTAAAGCAGAGGCTCAGAGAAACTCAGTGAGTTGGCCACTGGCATAAAAAGCATTGGGGTCCCACCCCTTCTTGAGAGGTCCAAATGCTTGATCACATCAAGTGAATTGAGGTACTGAGGACTTGAACTTTACTCTATGCTAGTTCTGCCTTCTTTTCTCCACTCTCCACTGCAAACACATACCTGATTATTTGAAGTGACCAAGGCCATTCTACCAAACACACAATCACAGGTTACAGCTAGGGATCACTGAAAGTGAATGCTGTAGTAGGGAATAACACAAGAAAACCAGGTCATAATGCAAGTCAAAGCAGTCCAACCAATTCACTGAGAAGTCATTATGTATGGTGAAGCAGCATTTTTATTGTAAAAGTCCACAGTTTAAGCAATTCCTTTGTGAAACGGTTTTCAAATACATAGACAGGAAACAGCTGATAATTAGTCAGGTTATATATAATAGTTATTTGTATTGCCAATACTAAGCACACATTGGAAAGCTAGCATTGCAAGAGTCCATATTATAAGACACATTTTGAATGAACAATAATAATGTATTTCTCACCATTAAAATTTGCCAGCAACTCTCCCAGAGTCAACATGTACTATCTTGACAGTTAACAAACAAGAAAATAATGAGCTCTATTTACATATATTTGAGGTTATATGCTAGAGCACTAGTATATTAAAAGGTTTGTAAAATCGACAGCTAGATGTGTTTCAAGATTCATCCAGATGACATGGTGATGACTTCAGTGGTATTACATTCGCAAAACCATTCTCATTCTGTACTGTTTCAGGATCTTGTATTAAATCTATGCTAGCAATGCTTTAGTTCTGACATAGAGCAATGATGGCCATAACGAATAACTGCCAGATGCCAGTTTCTAAAAATAAAGCTGTAGTATAAGTGCAGGAAGATGGGATTTGAATGCTAATATTTGAGACCCAGGATGATAGTTTCATTTAATGATGATGTGACCCAAAGAGGCTACTTCTCCATGAAAGCATTAATTTGTTTTCTCATCCTTGTATGATGGGACTTCAAAAATTTGTGAAAAACAATAGAATTGAAAGAATGGATTTTTTTCATGAACTTTTGAACTTTCCTTATATGAACTTCTCCATTATTTTAGTTAAAATATTATAGAATACTACAGTCTGAATAAAAATCGACTATTAATTTTGTGTGTGTTTTCCATATATATAGAATTGTGGATTTATCAGGGCCAGCTTATCTCCACTTCTGGGGGAAAATTATAAAAAACACAACTTTAATTATGCCCAGTAGAGTCATCTCTATACACAAACAGTAGACATAACATTGCTTTTTAAAAACAGCACTGTTTATATTTTACTTAAAATAAAATTTTTATAATAAACAATAATACCTACTGTTCTCTGAAGCCTTCTGCTTATTTGCTAAAGATATAGTATCCTTTGAAAATGCCTACATCACAAGATAAATCATTGGTTCCAAGTCAAAATAGAGAGATTCACCAAGAGTCCATGAGTGAATTCACATCGAACTACATTTAATGAGCACCAACCATGTGCCAGGCACTAGGCTAGGTGCTGAGGACCGAAAGAAGAAATGACAAGAAGTCTGCCCACAAGGCACTCACATCACTAGAAGCAGATCTTGAGATAAAGAATACATTTTATTATATGACCTATCATCTTAAGAGGAAGGAAAAACAACAGCAAACCTGTACAATTATTTTATATATTAGTTATGAAAATGGGCATATTTAAAGGTGGCAAATATAAATTATTTAATCTGTATTTCATTTAAAATGCTGTAGTATGTCATATAAAATTTTAAAATAAGCTATTCGAATCTCCATGCAGGAGGGTGAAGGCAGCAAAAATTTCTCCCTCTAATTGCAAACCCCAGACCTTATAATTATATTCATGTTTCTTTTATATCCCAAAGACACAAAATAAAAGACAATTCTTTATGATGATAACTTCAATCCATTTATTTTTGGTTGTAACGAGATGCATGCATTAAACTTGAAGCAGTCTAAGATATTGATATATTTACATCATTGTACATGTCATAGGATGAAAAATGTCTTCCTATCTTGGGAGAGAGGTGTAATAGATTTCTAGTCTAGGTTCTTACATTTAAAGAGCATTTGGATTATTCTCATGTAAGTATACTATTGATATCAGATTTATCACAACTTGACCCAAAATGAACATAAGGTACATTTCTTGTACCTTTTTTCATCTAATTGTATTATGAATCATGTTAGGATACCACCATTTTAAATATTCCTGGCTTTCACTATTTAAATATCTGTTCCTATATAATATCATATGTCAAAATTTCAAGGTTCTTGCTCTAGTCACACTTTGCCTTGCAGGTTCAAATGCAGCAAACATTGAAGTTCAAATTACAATAACCAAAGGAGAGTTGGGCCGAGACAATATGACATTAGTACAATTTACTCATAAAGACAAGAACAAATTCAGATCACAATTATCCTTATTGGATAGGATATTAAGTGGACTTAGAAATGACATCTTCTCTCCATGAAATTCAGTGGATAAGACTCATATCAATACCCTCTCTTCTTCACAGGTAAAGGTAGGACACCCAATAAACTAGATTGAACAAACAGAAAGCTGTGGGAAAGAAGATCCGAGCATAGGAGTCCATTTTGGCAATACGGATATGTATCCTCCCGTGTCTCCAGGCCCCTGTTCGGCAGTCTTCAAAACAGCAGAAGAAGCTGGCGCAGTCCTTCCCATCCAGACACTCATACCCATATTCTTCATCCCTCTCTTGAAGATGTGTAGCGTTGTTCATTTGAATGGTTGCTGATCGTGGGCGGATATCAATGGTGGGAGCCTGGGACAAGTGTAGGGAAGGGGAGGAAGAAGAGTTAGTTACACTTCATAGATCCTAGACTTTTGGTCCACAATATCACCCATGTGAATGATGACATCTGAAAATGGGTACTCAGGAAATTGCTATGACATCGTGATCTACAATGGTGAAATTGAAATCAGAAAGAGCACATTTGCCAATTTCAAATTTTGAGCTTAAGCAGTGCAGCTGAAAATAATACCACCAAGCTAATAGCTCTAGCAAGAATATTGAACACCAGAAAAAAACAACAACAAAATAATTTTAATTTAAAAATTCAAATCAAACAACTACATGGCACTTTATTCTAGTAGCTGGTAGGTATGAAGTTAGAAATATGAAGGCATGTAATGGTGTTTCATGTGAGTAAGACATAGAAATAAAAATGCATCCATTTCAAAACCAAATTTTTATCATGCTTACTTTTAGGCAAATTGTAAACTCTATTACACTGAGCAATATAATATTAATAGAAAAATATTTTTTATTTAAAATTCAAAACAAAATGAAGAACTAAGTACAAAAATTCATAGAAAATTGGCAGTTAATACCATAAAAATCTGATTTTTTTGTTTTGTTTTAAGGGCATATAATGTTTGACATAACATTAACCAACTTGAGATGCAGAATGTCAGCTTACTTATGAATAAAATGTTACACAAAATATTACTGCCTAAATGTCACTCTTTTTATCAGTTAAGAAGAAGCTAGTAGCAATTAAATGCATGCTAGTCTCATCTTTGCTACCAAACCAATTGTGAAATTGCAATAAAATTAATAGATTTAGTAAATGTTGATTTGGATGACTATGTTTTTAGGCTAATATAAATATACATACTTGTATCTCTGAAAAAATGTATCTGAGTTAGAAATGCACGTGTCTAGGCCTAGTGATCACCTCTGAAGTAAAGGATAAGTGTTTTAACTTAAACATTTTCAAAAAGAGCTTGATTCTTATAGGACTGAAAAGTAGAGTTCAGAGTATCAAATCTACTTATTACAAAACAATCCCATCTTAAGTTAGTATTAACAGTTACTTTTTTAATCCTAAAGGGCAGGTGTACTGGTGAAGCTAGTGCAAGTAGGTCCCATGTTCATATGAGAATCATCATCAGTCCTGGCTTTGATGTTTAAAAAGGGTATCTTAACTAAGGATGTTCTACAGGGCTATATAGTATTGGAACTTCATGCAAGTCCAAAACTTCTGTGGATTAGCACAATATGGATGAATCAGCTGTCAATATCTATAAAACCTATAATATCTTGCATGTGTTTTCTCTAGTAAAATATTTAAATGTTTAATCATAAATAAAAACAAAACACCATGTAAGCATTAATAGTTAAATTCAGCAGTTGCATGCAGTGAATTTCCATTCCAAAACATTATACCTTGAAGGAAAACATCCGAAGAAGCTTTGGGTTTGTAGACAGAAAAGAGAATCGCATTTAAAAAATAAATAAAAATTAAAAGAAGAAAATAAGTTAAAAGAAAAAAATAAAAGAGAGACAAAATAAGATAAATTAAAATACATTTGAAACCATAGTAAATGAATTGAAATTATAAACACAAAAGGACAGTACTGAGCCTAGGATAAAGTATATACTTAAAGTCATAAAATAAAATTTTGTGATTTTTTAAGAGAAATTTTCATTAAAATTATTCAGAATTATCTGACTGTAAAAGCCAGTGATGTTCAATTGTAAGAGTATTAGTACTTGTTCATAGTACTAATATTATGATTACTTTTCTAATTATCATCAAAGAGGCCTCAATAGGTGAGTTTTGACAAATTTGCCAATAAAAATTTTGTTACTTACTAAAGACATACACTCTTGCCAAATACAAAAGGAAATTCATTATCACTGAATGCACATCAACGCCTACCAACTCTACCTAGGGTGTTGGAGGCTTTGCATATCTTTACAGCCTCATTACTTCTTCCTTAGAGTCTTGAGGGTTGAAACCACCACCTTGTAGTCAGAACTGCAATGCTCACCTAACAGCGCCACCAGTTAATTTGGATAAATTACTTAATAGGCTTCAAAGACTGGCTAAAATGAAATTTCTTTGCGGCTCAAATTAAAAAAAACATCCTTTAACTTCTTTTTCCACGGCTTCCTCTTTATCTTCTGCCATCTGGATGGCCCTAGATTATGGAACCTAAGTCTTTCCATTTCTACAACCAGATCTACTCTTCAATGGCATACTTGTTGGAAGGAGTCAAATAAGTTTTTTTCCAAATAATTTGTCCAAGCTTTCTGGGAGCAAGTAATAACGCCTACTGTGAACAGAGTCATCTTCTCTGGAGACAATGAAATCAAGAGAGGAGTAGGGACGACACATGAGAAGTAACAGGACAAAGAAAAAGAAGACAGAGAAGATGGACCGAAAGCAGAAAAGTCGACAAGGAGAGGAGGGGCTGCACAAGGCATAGTAGATATTTAAAACATCAAAGACAAGCATTTAAAAACAACCACGGATACTGGAGCGTCTTTCTTTACCTTTACTAAGTATTGCATTGAAAACCGGTCACTTGTATAACTTCACAGAGGTTTCCACGGTTGAATTGAAATATAACTTAGAATCAGGAAGACTCCCTGATCATAAATCAGTCCCCAGGGTCGTAATTTACAAAGGTAGCTACTCATGAAGTCTTCAGGATGCTTAGAGCAGAAGCCCAGGAAAGACCAAGTCAAGAACATAGGGACAACTCTTCATCTTCTCTCGGAAGTACATTAACCATTAAAGTGATGGGACTGCCTGTGACCCCGGTATGTTGTTCTACTAGAGAACATCAGCAGTAAAATACAATTACTTTACACAGGTAGGCTCTGTTAGAAGTTCAGTGGCAAACTGAAGTCATCTTACCTGTTTCCAAATCATGCGGAAACTAAAATCAATTCAGCATGAGAAATACATGTATCGGTATCAACTATTACCATTAGCTACAAACGATGAGAGCTTCCATGTGCCCCAAACTCCATAATATGTTTTACCCCCATGAGCACATTGCTTTTTCACAGGAGCCCCATAAGATGCATTTTTGGAATAACCATTTCATATTTGAGAGACCTAGAACACAGGGAGGTTAAGTAACTTTCCCAAACCATAGGTGAGCCATGTCCCTTCATAACACATCAGATACATTCTCAGTATGAAACACATACATTTTTTCACACCAGTGTGTGCACACATTCACACATACAACACATTGCATCATTTACATAAGGGTGGCCATGCTTGAAAGTTCAAGAACCTTTGTCTTGAACACCTTGGCTGAAAAGTTTAATGTAAAGAATTAGTGATTTTAAAATACTATATTCAAGGTAGCAGGACAACGGAAATTAGTAAAAACTATTCTAATAGTATCCGAGATGCATTTCTCAGGAATAGCTGCCTTCCTCTCTCCATAATGCATGCTCATGCTCACACTCACACTCACACTCACGCTTTCAGTTTCATCTGGATGCCAGAGAGCTGAAGCTTGCCCTGCAGATAAGTTAACACAGAGCAAATCCAATCAAAACCAAGTGCTCTTTCTATATGATTATCACGGAATCAAAGGGAAAAAATACATACAGGGTTTTTCTTCTTTTTGTCTTTTTCCTTGCTTGGTTTCCGGTTGCTAACAAAATAATGTAGGGTGCCATACTCCACCAAAGCAGAGAAGACAAAGATGAAGCAAACAGACACAAAGAGATCCATCGCTGTGACATATGAGACCTTGGGGAGCGATTTCCTGGCAATGGTGCTGAGGGTGGTCATTGTCAAGACAGTAGTGATACCTGAATAGAGGGAAAATAGAGCAGATTGTGTGAGAACACCGCCAAGCGGAGTAACGTGGCCTCAATGCAACAGAATTGGGTTTGTAGTTTTTCATAGGCAACCTCAATACTTGAAAAGAAATTGTTCTGGGTTGAATTGTGCTCCCCAAATTAGATGTTGCATATCCTAACCCTATATGGGTGGGTGTAATTCCATTTGGAATTAGGGTTTTATTTATTATGTTGATGAGGAAATATCAATATAGAGGGTGTTAGAAACTAATCTTTGTTTAGATAGAAGATAGCCAAATAAGTAGAGAAATAAGTATATATGCAGGAAGATAGACGCTGGACAGGGTAAAGATCACCAAGCAACTAAAGAAATGAAGCTGAAAAGTGGCAAGGATTTCTGCTAGAGTTTACAGAGAATGAAAGGCTTGTGTTTGTTTTTGAGCAAGTGCCCTACATTTAGATGTTTAGTCTCCTAAACTTTTAGGAAATAAATTAATGTTGATTAGAAATAGCTACTTGCGGTGTTTCTGCTAGGAGACCCATACTGGAAGCAGCATACTGGAAGTTACTCCTTTCTATTATGCACCAGCCACCGCTGCAAGCACCAGATATACACTGAAAACTAAAATCGACATGTCACCTGCTCTCGTCTCTCGTATGCATTATGTTTTCATGGGAGAGATACACTATCAGTTAAGTATATACATATTTTTAAAACATATAGTTGCAAAAGTTGGTGTGTGCCATGTAGAATAGTGGTAATGATAAGCATTGAGAATGATGAAAGGAGGCTTCTTTGAGGAAGTTACGTTTAAGATGAAGCTCAAAATCTGCAAACATTCCAATTGTTTTCCTACTAAAACAGGAGAGTACTTAAGGGAGGATTCTGAGAAAGGGAAAGTTGGCCTCTCCATTGGCTTGCTAGACTACTTGTCAATGGGGAGGGACAGACTAGCTGAGGTGATATTAGTTAAATAGGTGTTACGAGGAGGGCTGAGAACACTCATGGAAAAATTCTGAATCCTTCTTATATATTATGCAGCACATATAAAGGGTTTGTATTTTACTCAAAGTGCAAGTGGAAATTATTTAGAAGCGCTAACCAGAGCAGGGAGGCCCACTGGCTGCATCATGGACCACGCAGTGAGTCGCTAACCACAGTGCCAGGGGCAGGGCTACCCTGAGGTAAAGCGCTGCTGTGAGTCAGAATCAACTTGACGACTGTGCGTTTGGGGTTTTTAGGAAATGGAAGAAGTGGGTGACATGGTCTGATTAATACAAAGTTTTAGAGCTTTGTACAATGACAGTATCTTGAAAGTAATGTAATAACTAACATTTCTCAAAAATGTTCTAGTCCAGGTATTCTGCTAAGCACATTAAAAACAAACACAAACAAACTTATTGCTGTTGAATAACCAGCTCTTAAGCAAGTATGCTAATATGTATCTCTCCCATAAGAGTGGATGGTGGGTCAAAACCAGAAATCTTTGGATAAGCCATGGTTGATTAAGCAGTGTGTGCTGAGGGCTCTTGTCAAAGACATACAGTGTGTTGTATCTTGGGATCTTCCCAGCTGGCGTGTTCATCTTGGTTTTATATGTCAGAAAAATAAGTCTGACGGATTAGCTCTGTCTTCAATAGTCAGGAAAGAAGAAGGATTTGAATATAAAACTAATGTCTGGAGACAAAATGCCTTATTTTACCTATTGTCAGGTAAACTGGTCCTCCCCAATGTTTTTTTAATGACAGGAAACAGCTAAGACAGCCTATATGATTCAACCAGGGAACAATCGATGGCTTTCCTTCCATAGAAGCTGTGTTGCCTTAATTTAGTGTTAGAAAAAGTTCTGGGCAGTTCTGCCCTAATTTAAGCAATTTATCAGTATTAATATGTCATTAATAATGAATATAATTATTATATCAATTCAATATGATATTAATATTAATAGTCTTATATTCCACTTTCCTCTGTTGGACAATATCGTTTAAGGCCAAACATTTCTTACCCTTCTATCATTTGCACTCATGACTGGTAGCATTGTTTCCCTTCCATTACTGCCCTTACCATTTCTAGCTTTCTGGTTTACAGTTCTGATGCGGATTGAGAGGGTGAGGGTCCATCATTTAATACTGCTGGCCAAAATGTTTCCCAGGGGTAATCTGCTTCCCCGAAAGCTAATTGGCCTAAAATGGAAGCTCAGGAGGAACTCAGAGGACTAAGAATCAGGAACCGGTTCGTGAGGAAAATGGGGGTGGGCGGGGAAGCCTATAAAGCAGAATGGCTGTTGTTATTTCTCTTTAAGTCCTACAGCTTGTAGTGTTGTTGCTAAGAGCTGAAATCAACACCAGGATACCAAACAAAAACAAGACGTGAGTAACTGGTAGAGTATGTAAATACATATTTTAAAATAGTATGTGTTTTCTGAATGTCTTAAATTATGAACCCTCAAAGTCATTTTGGAAGGTTTTCAGGGACCCACGTAGCTTTAAATTAGGTAATTTAATCTTAATAACAAGTTTCTTGAGTTTATTTTGTGTATGTTAAATTCTATACAGAAAAAGAGTACAAGTGTAGGTGAAATGGAAGACGAAAGTTATTTAAGGGACGTATAGTTTTGAAAGCCACAGCCTTTTTCCTGAGCTATTTTTTATTGATTGTAGAGTCCTCCCACATGCTCTTCTGATCTCAAGATTCTGGGACTCTTGTGTGGATTCCTGCCTACATATGTTGAGGGGTGGATTTCCCAATGAGCAAGGTAAGCATGGACTAAGATGCTTACTTCCTAATCTGCAGTGATCAGTTTACTCCAGGACAGTAAGTAAGCACAAATAAGTCCATGCTTACCTTGCTTACTGGGCATTATCTTCCCATCATTGATTATTCATTTCAATAGAGGTTTTGATTCTATAATAAAGTGCTGTAAGAAAGACAGATGAAAGCCATGTCTAGAGGCAGAAACTTTGAAATGTGGTAAAATGTGAAATTATTTACTACCAATTAGCAAATAAACACTAATAAATTCTGTTTGCCTTGCTCATATGGCAGTTTGACACTGGGATACAATGTGGGTCTGAGGGACTGACATATATTGTCATGGTGGGACCTTGAGAAGGTTTGAGTTTTTCAACTTCAAAGAGAAAAAGAGAACCAAACAACAAATAAACTAACTGATAGGGTTCTTGTGGATATTTAAATTACCTAGCATGCATCACGTTGGAGTTTCAACAAATGCAAGATATTATTAACACTTATTTCAAAGTAAAATTAGTCTGCTTGTTTAAAAAAAATGCACAAAATAACCACTTATCTTGGGATATCTATGCATTTTTTAATGTAAGCATTTATAGTTGTACCTAATTAACAGTTGATATTTTTATGGAGAAATTAAACCCTAAATTGGTATCTTGAGGTGCATTACCTCTTCAGCCCTTAAGCCACATTTGGCATAAGAACAATGAAAATATCATTATCTGTAATATATACACCATGGATAAATTAACTTAAAAACTCTGGCAAGTAATAGTTCAGGGGAAACAAATTCTGATATATAGATTAAACATTGATCTTACAAACCAGGAAGATGTTATTTGGGCTACATAGAATGTCATTACAAACATGGAAAAGTAGACTGCAGGAGGATGGCTTTATGTTGATCTCAGGTGTCTGACCTGAACCCCAATGAGGAACATTAAGCATTGGACTGTTAACCACAGTGCCGACAATTTAAACCCACCACTGTTCCTTGGGAGGAAAATGTGCTTGTCCCCATAACGACTTATGCTGTAGGATAGGATGCCCAGTAGGATGGCTCCATAAAATGTTCCCAGACTGAAATTTCTATGGGAGCAGATTTCCAGGTCTTTCTCACTCACAAGAGCTACTGATGGGTTCAGATAACTGACTTATAGGTTAGCAGCTGAGCTTTTAACAATTACTCTACCAGACTTTTTGATCAAAGACTAGGATTTTTTTTTTTCTTTTTTGCTTAGAGACCTCATCCTTAGTTCTCAACTCACATTCATTCTTTCTTACACCATGTTCCTTTTGCAGTAAGCAAATGAGCCAATGAATGAAATGACCTACCACAGCATCCATGGTGGGAGTTTGACAAACATCAATTGTGGTTCAAGAAGAAAAATAGAAGTGAAATATTTTCCTTAAAATATTTTGTGAGTGATGTAAAATTGAATGTCTCACATTGATTCATTTACACAATCCATTTATAAGAGCATACGTTAATTGAACAATCATTGAGGAAACAGTTATTGAACCAAACACTGTGCTAAAGATGAAAAATGCATTTACATTTTGATGTTTGAGACAGACAGCTAAGCATCTGATGCAATACATTCTAATAATAGTGACAAGAAATAGTCCTAAAGTAATAGTTTCAGTATATTTAGGGTTTGTTTCAGCATGTAGCCTTACACAAGACATAAATGTTAAATAGTGTACGGCATTATTTAATGTTAACACGGTGTATGGAATATAACAGGAGAAGTCAAAATAACTTCATTTCAAAACAGATGGAAAACTAAATTAGGTTTGGAATAGGGCAGATATGCAAATGATGTCCTTTTTCTTTTATTTCCCTTTCTCCTCAATAATCACTTCTACCCTCCGATTTAATAACTTGTTACATAAAATAAATATAACAGCTAACATTTCTAAGACTTAATATGGCAAAGAATACCTTATTTAGCCTTAGTAAAATCTCACAGGGTTAGCATAGGAAATTAAATGTATTTCACACATAAGGAAAACTGATTTAGAGATATCAAAGGGAATTTTTATCATTATATGTATATGTGGGGTAAAAATTCACATTTCGTGCCTTTATTTAACCAATTTTGCCATAACAGAAATTATACAAGGGGCTGGCTAAAACAAAGAGATATTTTATATTTTCATTGTTTGGGAAGTTATATATGGGAATTTAAGGTGCTAGATCTAGAATAAGACTTTTTGGCCACTCTGGAGGAAGACCCTTGTTACTTTCAGCTCTGCTCCTTGGTGATATAGATACATAATAGATAGATAGATGATAGCTAGATAGCTAGCTAGCTAGATAGATAGATGATAGACAGATATATAGAGAGACTTTTAAAAGTTCATAGAATATTCCATTATCTTTTTATTTCCTTTTTCCATGAACTTTGGAAGCCATCTTGTATATAATGTTAAAAATACATGTAAAACACTTAAATTTATTAATTAGAAACTAACAGAAAGCAAAAAAAAAAGCACTGGCATTTCATAGAAATTGTTGGCAGGATTTAAAGCAAATCCACTTACTGAAGAAAATAAGTAATTGTATTGGGTACTTTATATATTTTGGAATCAACATCAGAAAGGCGTGTATCTCACCTAGAGATGTTCTTGCTGGCACTGCATCTTTATTAATCCAGAAAGACACCCATGATAGGACCACGATGAGTGTGCAAGGGATGTAGGTCTGGATGGTGAAGTACCCCATTCTTCTGCTCAGCTCAAAGTAGACAGCCATGATCACATAATCTCCTAAAACAGAGAAAAGATAACGCATGACATCCTACCAAAAACTGGTGTGCATACTTTTAAATTGAGAGTTTTATCTCAGTGCAAAGGATCTCTGGAAGCACAACAACAATGAAAGAGTGACTCCTTAGTGATTTGAGCCCACCAGTTAGTTCGTGGGGGAAATCTGGGACAGGCTGATGTAAACATTTACAACTTGTAATCTATGGGGCAATTCTATTCTGACCCCTATGATGGGGTAAAAGTTCCACATAAATGCTGAAGACGAATGTGTGCATAAGTAAGTGTGGTGAAGAAGGCTGATGGTGCCGGACTATTGAGACCTATAGCGTCTGGGGACTTAAAGGCTTGAAAGTGAACAAGTGGCCATCTAGCCCAGAAGAAACAAAGCCCACATGGAAGCAGCACACCAGCATGTGTGATCACGAAGGGCCGAAGGGACCAGGTTTCAAACACCAAAGGCGTGTGTGTGTGTGTGTGTGTGTGTGTGTGTGTGTGTGTGTATCATATCATCGTTAATTAGGGTGGCTCGTGATGGGGACCCAATGCCCATCTGTAGACAAGTGGACATACCTTGCAGAGGGATATTGGGGAGGAGATGAGTCACTTAGGGTTCAGTATAGCAATAATGAAACCCACAACCTTCCTCTAGTTCTTAAACGCTTCCTCCCCCCAACTACCATGACCCCAATTCTACCTTGCAAACCTGGTTAGACAAGAGGATGCACAGTGGTACAGATGGGAACTGGAAACGTGGGGAATCTAGGACAGATGAATCCCTCAGGACCAGAGGTGACAGTGGCAATACCGGGAGGGAAGGGAGGGGGTAGAAAGGGGGAACTGATCACAAGGATCTACATATAACCTCCTCTCTGGGGGATGGGCAACAGAAGGGTGGGTGAAGGGAGACGCCGGGCAGTGTAAGATATATATATATATAATAATAATTTATAAATTATTAAGGGTTCATGAGGGAGGGGGCAGTGGGGAGGGGGGAGAGGGGAAAAAAGGAAAAAGCGAATTCCAGGAACCCAAGAGGAAAGCGAATTTTGAGAATGATGAGGGCAACAAATATATGTGTGCTTTACACAATTGATCTATGTATTGTGATTAATTGTATAAGCCCTGATAAAATGATTTTTTTTAAAGAAAATAATCCACTGGGGGGAAAAAAAGCATGTTTGGCGTCAGAATAAATACAGAAGGATGGCCTCTAGAGGCATGTCTGACTCCTGCCGCAGGGCACTAGGTTAGACCCCCATGCTTTTTATCCTAGTCACTATGAGTCAGAATTGATTTGAGGGCAATAGGATTTCAAACAAAGGGTATGACATACATATTATTACGTGCTTGATGATTTACCAAAGGATAAGATTTCAACCCCAAGAAGCCCCTTGGAATAAATGCCGAGTAATTTGTTTCTGAAATTCTGTGGAGCACACTCTGTCCTGACATACATGTATTAATCATAATCCAAAAAGATTCAACGGCAATTGGTTTTCATCATTTATTTATATTTTAGAAGAAATATACGTGGATAAACAAAACAAGCAAACAAACAACAGACATTCTTAATCGAATGCTTGTCTACATAAAAGTACTGTAACAACTGAAGATAAAAATGTTCACCATAATAATCACCATTTCTTCTTTGTGGTGTTTTTGTCCTTGATATCTGTTCTTATTAAAGCACAGAGTATAAATGACTTTGTTTGATGGGACAGCAGAGAAGAGCCCTTCTTTACAGTTCTTATCTCACTTGCAATAGATCTTTAGGTTTGCAACAATTTCTTGTTCTCAGGACCTCTACTTAAACCATGGGGGACTATCCTGGTACTTGACATTAATCAATGAGTGTATTACTTAGAATTCATAGCCAAGCTCAATGCTAAACCATATTTCTTTCTTATTGAATTTTTATTGAATCAGATGCTTTTCCCTTTTTGAAGTGCCTTCAGTTTGTTATTGTTCATTATTACATCTGTCTTTCCTACTGGATTTTAGCTGCTTGAATTAATGAACAGTGCCAATTTTATCCCACTATTGAATCACCGCTAATCAGTGTATATATTGCTTGATTCCAAATACATAAGCAAGAAATGAATGAATGCAATTACAAATTTTAGATGAAAGACAAAAAGAAAACACACACAGAAATCAATAAAGAGTGTTCTGAAACATTTGGATCAAAATAGAAATCTCTGTAGATAACCCAGAGAATACACTAATAAAAATACTAAGAATTAAAATAATCATTACATAGCTATATTTTTATGTTTACTATATACAATAAGTTTTTAAGTTTACTATACTTTGAAATTTCTGATCTTTTGAAATAATGATTTACAAGTTGCTTTTAAAATCTCATACCATTAATTTTGTATGACTTCCAGTGAAATTTCAGATTTAAAATTTTGAAGTTGGAAAACATATTATGGCAATATAACCTAGTTTTTCTAAATTTCTGTTTTCTTTATCTTTTGAGAAAGCCAGGTTCACAATGAGAAGTAAATAAATGAGCTCATTTTTCAAATGTGTCTTTTTCCTTTATGAAATTATATTTTGCTCTAAAACAAATGGATAATTAAATCCAAATCATGTGTTTTAGTTTAATTATTTGGCTTCGTGCCTGTACTTCTCTATGTATGAGGCTGATTTAGAGTTGATTGAACGAAAGGTGTTCTAGAAGCCACACTCAGTGTAGACTGATATAGCTGGGTGCATTGTCACATGTATGCCAGTTCCTTTCCTCTCAAGCTGTACCCCATCTTCTTCCAAGTTGCCCAATATCACTGGATACTCTTTGATGAGTAAAGATTCTCTCCTAAATCTGTAATGTTTCCTGAGTGGGCTAATGAATTCCTTCTAACCTCTATTTGATGGAGTGATTTACTCACACTTGTTTGAGTAAGGCTTGGCTAAGGCAAGGATAGTGACCATTGACAATGGTCAATGCACCTCCAACGGAACACCCACTGCCTCCAAGGCCAATTGTTGGTAGTTGCCCTTGAGCTATGTGTTCTTGGTTGCAACATTTATGGCATCTCTTCAGTGGACCCACAGGCTGGATTCAAACTGCCAAATCTTCAGGTTAGCCACCAAACACATACTGCTTTCACCACCAAGTCTCTTCAAAATACAACTTTTTTTTTGCAATTATTCCTGAAAAGGTGAAAGTAGTAATGTTTGTTTGTTTGTTTCTGATGATAACTCCGTTTTGGTTAATTCCATGATACCGTGTTATTGTTAGGTGCCATTCATCAAGTCCATTCTGAACCCATAGCAACCCTACGTACGACGGAAAAAACAATCGGCTGTCCTGCACTATCCGCGCAATCGTTCCTTTGCCAAAGCCCATGGTGGCAGTAATTCTCTGCATTCATTTCTCAGAGTACGGCTACTTAATGTCCCACTGCTTCAAAAATTAGTTTGGTCTTTGTTTTTATTCTAATTTAGATTAGGGCAGAGATATTTTGAATTAGAATATCCTTAATTCGAGTCTAATTTAAAATAGAGAAAGGATGGCAGACTTTTAAAGACTAAAAATGGTTGATTTTCAATTTGACAAGACACCGATTAATATCCATCTTCTTTATTTTCCCATGTCTTTGATCAGAATATCAAAAGACGATATAAGCTCCCCTATGTTAGGGGAAAACAAAACCCAAAAAATCAAGCCATGAAAGAAAGATATACTTCTGTAAGTGATACTATTTTGTGATTCTTTCCCTCTGATTTTTCAAGTCTCTGAGAGTTTTCCGCACATTTTAAATGTGTATAAATCAAAGTTTACAATGCATACCATTTAAAATAAATCAAAAGAACCTTAGCAACTTCTTTACTCCCGCTGTAAGTAAATGAAAATCTACACCTTGACCTTAATGAGCTAATTTTTTTAAAGGTGAATTCTAATTAGGCATTAAGTTAACAAGATGATTATCTTAATGTAATTCTCTGCTTTCCCTTAGGTCAGAGTCTAAACTTCTTTGGCCTGCTTATCTATCAATTTCTATTATAAGGTAATAGCTTTGGAACATCTTTCATCTTTAGCAGTAAATCCAAAGCTTTGCTACCACTGGATTATAGATTCAAACTTGGAAACAGGCCATTTAAAAGCAAAGCGGTTTCACAGTGTCAGCCTGATGCCAGTCTTATCTTTCAGGCCACATCGCTTTTTGTATACTTAAAAACTCTAGGGCCGAGGAGCCTATAAAATCAAATCCTCTTAAAGTACCGCATCAGTGATTCCTGAAGCCTCAAAGGTTTAAATGCCAACCAAGTCCAAAGTGGTTATTTCAGCCGCTTCAAATTCATTCAATTGATTCATCTTAACATAAGCTATTTAAAGTCATAGTTTATAGATTAGTTTGGCCCTGCTTTTGTCATAATTTGGAATGCAAAACACAGGCAACAATGGAAGAGAAAAGTAATATAATTTAAAATTACATCCAATAATAATGTCCATCTTTTTTTTTAAGCTTGAATTTTTCAGACTTAGGAAGAGATGATCAACATTAGTAAAAAATGATGTTTTTAAACAGTGATATTAAATTGCCATGAAAACACTTTTTACATCTTATGCTGATTTAGGTTGTTCAGGCTTTAATTTAAAAATGAAATACTTTTAAACTTTAAATCATTCAAGTTTTTAGTCTTCATTGAGTCCCTGAAATAATAAAAAGGATGATTTTCTAGCTTAGTTATGGGGTCCACTATGAGCACCCACTAGTCTGAAGGGCTTCCTCTCAATAGGTGAAAAACTTTCAGGAAGATGAAAAAAACTAAGAGTCAGATATACTTTCACCTATTTCCTCTCTCATCATCCTAATTTTTACTTAGTTGTATGCTTACAGGTAGACTCTGAAAGTGTCCCCAGGTGATAGAGTAGATTGAATAGGGTTTTCTTGACACTAATCTTTATGGGAGAAGGTCAACAGAGCTTTCTGCCATGAGCCACTGGGTGGGGCTGAACCATCAATCATTTGATTAGCAGCCAAGCACTT